ATCCGACCACTATATCCCCTTTTATTTCTTTTTTGTTTTTTTCTCCTTTATTCACTCGTCCCGCAATACGGATTTGTTGGCCAGTTGTTAGCCCACCTCACCGCACCGCATCCATCATGCCATCAAATTTTTTTTTTTAGACAAAGGTAATGTTACTAAGTTAGATTAATTAATTATTAAAAATTAAAGATTTGATTTTTAAATAAGGGTAAATGTCGCCACCTCCTCATCAAAGAGCGCGGCTCAATAAGTGGGGCGCATGGTTCTTCCATCATGCCATCATGGTAGTATTAGTTTATAAGGTTTGACCATTCTCTTACTCGCTAAAAACGAAATTCATAGACATATCAAGAAAAATAAAATAAAGATCTATTTAATGTTCATTTATGACCATATAAAAAAGGTAAAAATTAAGTGATGTTGGTATTTAAAATATAGATATTATTTATAAAATTATTTAATACTTTTATTATGTATTTAGGTTAAGAAAAAGAGAGGAAGAGGAGTTCCTTCCTTTCCCCTCATTGAAATAAATTAATTAATTAAATAAAAAAATTACATAAAGGAAATTTTTTCTTTCTTTCTTTCCCTCAAATTCTTTTAATGACAGAATAAAGAAAATTTTTCTCTTTTTCTTTATTTTTCTTAACCTAAATATATTATTAATAAATTTTTCTTATGTGTTGATTTATTAAAAAAATTCATTAAATGTCATAATGTATTAATTTCCCACCATCTTTACAATCATAATCTCATTGTTTATGATTTTTTTAATAAAAATATTATAGTTATAATATTACATGATATTATAAATATATAACATAATATATTATTATATAATTAACTCTTTTATTTAAAGATTCACTCATAATATTATTTACATTCATTTAGTTAATATCATGCTATAATTATAAATTTATAATTTTATATAGTATTGTAATTATAGTATTGCCTCTTTTTTTTTTAATATTAGGTTATAACTTACAAGGTAGGTGGTTCTCTTCTATTGCTTACCCCATTTCATTTACATACCATAAAATTTAAATTAAAATCTTCTACTTTCATTAGAGGTAAATTGTCACCTAACCACTAAAATATCAATAGTCCTAGTTATAATATCACCCTCTATTATAAATTAAAAATATCAAGTTCAAATATTAAGTGGGCATTAGTTTATATTATAAAAAGTTAAATAAAAAAAATCTTAAAATTATGTCATTTTAATAAAATTTTATTTTAAAAAAGCTAAAATATGTTATTTTTCAAAGTAAAAGTAAAGTTGTTTTAGTATTTCTTATGATTTTATTTTATTTTATTTTATTATGAATCTTATGATTTTATTAAAACAACATAATTTTAATGTATTTTTATTTAATTTTTTATAATACAAATTATTACTCGTTAATCACTTATAAAAATATGTAAATACCATACCATATTTATTAATCATAAATCTAGAAAAAAAAATTAGTATCTATCCTTTCCATTTGCCTTCACATCATATTGTAAAATTCAAATGTACTTACAAATATCTTTTTCGAGGGCTAAAGTACTTCTAAAATGTTGTAGAAAGTAAAAATTGAAAAACAAAAAATCAACTAGTGTTGAGTTGAAGGTGAAGCCTAATTGATGGGGATAGATTGCAAACCCATCATAAATAGTCTATCATATAAAGAAGTTAGGAAGGCGATGATTATGAAATGAATTCTCACTACTTGTCAAATTGAATCTCTTGTGTTCACACCATTCGTTCGTTACACTTCAAACCTCAAAGAGGCAAAGTCATGTCTTTTCTCTCTCTCTCTCTATCTCTATATGTCAAAGTTCGCACCTTTTCCGTTTCTTGTATGAAATTCCCTCTTCTCCTCAATCAACAAAGCTTTTTTTTCTTCGTGTAATCTCTGTGTTTCATATTTGCCCAAACCTAAATGAGTAACGCGACAGCCAACGACGGTGAAAGGCGGCGGAAGAGGGGAGGGAGCGAGGAGGAGGATGATAATATTGATGATCAGAAAGGAGAAACCAAGACCAGGGACTTGAAGGGAATAATTACTTCGTTGCTGTTGATGGAAGAGC